TTCTCCCAACTCAGCCAGTTAATGCCTTTACCCTCTCTTTTTCTTGAGCCCCACCAAAAAGAATTCATCATTTTCTCCAACTCTTCTTGTAATGAGCAGGGAAGCAAAAAGACACTCATACAATATGTAGGAATAGATTGTAAGACAGATTTAATAAGTACCTCCCTGCCAGCTTGAGATAACATTTTACTACTCCAACTCGAAATCTTCTTCCATACTCTATCCTTGATGTAATTAAAGATTGCTTTCTTTTTCCGCCCTAACATAGATGGCAGCCCGAGGTATTTACCGGTTCCAATACATCGTTTGACTCCAAGAATGCTGGACAGATGTTCACATGTAGAATCATCAATGTTCTTGCTAAAAAAGACCTCTGATTTTTGCTGATTTATAATCTGCCCTGAGGCTTTCGCATAGACATCAAGGATATGCTTCATTTTCCTGGTTTCTTCTTCTTTCGCTTGGAAGAAAAAAAAACTGTCGTCCGCAAAGAATAGATGACTTATTGTTGGTGCTCCACGACATATTCTCACTCCATGTAGCTCCCCCAATCTCTCCGCTTGCCGAATAAGCGATGTAAGTCCCTCTGCACATAAAATGAAGAGATAGGGGGACAGTGGGTCCCCCTGTCTCAGACCCCTTTGAGGAACAATTGGCCCAATACGATCATCATTAACAAGAATTGTGTACCGCACAGCAGTAACACACATTTTTATCCACATGATCCACGTCGTATTAAAGCCCAATCGCTCCAAAATTGCCCAAGGATAGCCCCATTCCACCCGATCATAGGCCTTACTGATATCAATCTTGAAAGCAGCCCCGCCCCTCGTGCCTCCTGTTTTACACTTCAGATAATGAATAATTTCATTAGCAATTAAAACATTATCCAAAATGCTCCTTCCAGAAATAAATCCCGACTGCTCCACCGAAACACATCTATGAAGTATTTTCTGAAGTCGGTTTGCTAGGACTTTAGCTACTATTTTGTAAACAACATTACAAAGAGAAATGGGTCTAAGATCACCCATAGATATAGGCGTATCGCATTTAGGGATTAATACAATATTTGTATCGCCTATCACTTCTGGGAACCGCCCTTCGGTCAACCACTTTCTGCCTGCCTCAACTATGTCTTCCCCACAAAGCTTCCAGAATCTTTTATAAAAGGCCGGATTGAGGCCATCCGGTCCAGGGGCTTTGTCTGAATGCATCTGGATCATGGCTGCTTTGAATTCATCATCCACAAATGGGGCCGTCAACGTACTGTTAATCTCCTCGGTGATGCACGGTTTAAGAGCTGCCAGCACTAGGGAATAATCCACATCACAAGAATTAAAAAGATTAGTAAAATAGGACTGCACCACTGCAGCAATACCTTCCTGTGATGTTACTAAAATTCCATCTTCATTCTTGAGGCTAGTAATTTTGTTTCTTTTCTTTCGGGAAGTAGCAGCAGCGTGAAAGAATTTAGTATTCATGTCTCCATCCCGCATCCAAAAAGCCTTCGCTCTTTGCTTCCAGAAAGTCTCCTCTTGAGCAAGGAGTTTAGCCAATTCTCGCTGCAGGATTTTAGCTTCATGAACTGCTTCGTTTGAAAGAGACTCTCTTGCAAGTGCTAGTTTAGCTCTGCATTTATCAATAGCTTCTGTGTGTCTTCTTCTCAATTTCCGCCCCCAAGCATCTAGTTTAACGGTACAGCGTTCCAGCTTCCTGAGCAATGGGTCTCCTGTGGATTCTTTCCATTCCCTCTCAACTACTATATTAAGTTCGGGTTCAACAAGCCATGAATTCTCAAACTGAAATCTTCTTTTCCTGAACATGCATACTTGAGACTTCGTGTTAAGCAAAATAGGAGAATGATCAGAGTGAGAGGCTACCAGATTGCGTAATATACTGGTTGGAAAGCGCTGCAGCCACGCCTCTGTTCCCATAGCTCTATCGAGCCTTTCCTCTACCGACTCGTCAGAATCTAGGCTTCTCCACCAAGTAAAGGGCCTGCCTTCGAGCTGAATATCCACTAATCCACAGTCAGTTATTGCCGCTCTAAAACCATTTATTAACCAGGTAGGGTGCTCTACCCTTCCTCTCTTCTCCTCATGAGCCAAAATGTCGTTGAAGTCTCCGATAACACACCATGGCAATCTACAATTGCTAGCTATCCTTCTAAGAATATCCCAGGATTCTCTTCGATGTTGTCTATCCGGAATGCCATAGAATCCTGTAAGTTGCCACGGTTGAGTAGATTCCTCTTTAACCAAAACATTAATAAAATTTTTTGAAAAATTGATTAGTTCAATGAGACTGGAAGATCTCCAAAGAATCGCTAGTCCACCACTTCTTCCCTCCCTGTCCACTACAAAATAGGCCTCAAAACCCAAAAGTCTACGAATTGCATCCACCTTATTAGAAGAACATAAAGTCTCACAAAGGAAAATAACATCTGGCTTATTATGCCGAACTAGGTCTCGAAGTGCCGGAACTGCACGCGGGTGACCCAATCCCCGGCAGTTCCAACTTAAAATAATCATTGGTCCTGGTGGGCCTGGGACCCAGGACCCACCCCAAAAAAATTTTTATCAGCGATGCCTGATGTACTAGTTGAGCGGTCTGTAACTTTTGGTTGTGACTCTTCGGCAAGTCGTTTTCTTTTCCTCTCTGCAGCTAGTTCATTATCCTCCGTCTGCATTTCACTACTGCATTGGGCAGCTTGATCAGTAACCTTACTACTCTGTTGTTGATTTATGCCTTTGACATGTTCTCCCCATTGCCCACCTGTGTCATCCCTCAACCATCGACACCCCCCTGAAGCCCCTGTCTTCCTTCTGTCTGCCCTTAACTCTATGCTCCAGCCTCTTACTCCATTGTCCTCTTGCATTTGAAATAATTTGTCGCATTGGGTGTCTAAATGGCCCAGTACTCCGCATAAGAAGCAAAAGGTGCTCAATCTTTCATATCTAAAACGAACCATTTTAATTTCCCCACTGACCAGCCTAATTTTTTTCCCCCTCTTCAAGGGATTACGAACGTCTAATGTGACTCTTATGCGCATATACTTCTTCCAGAGACCCTCATTGTTCTTAGGATCATACTCTACGAAAGTTCCAATAAAATTTCCCAAACTCTTTCCTGTTTCCTCATCCATATGTGTCATTGGAATATCGTGTACTTGAACCCAGAAATCGACATGAAATAATGGAACTTCCGAGGGTATAGATGTTGCCCCCATTTTTGCAGTAATCAGCAGATGGTTATCAAAGTGCCAGGGGCCTCCCTTCATAACCTTTTGCAGATCCAATCGATGATAGAATTGGAAGAGAAATATACCTGATTGTACTTGTTTAATCGAGACTCCCTCATGGGGTTCCCAGATTGTAGCCAGTCGCTCTTTCATCATGTGCGTTCGTATTGATTTCTGAGTCAAGAATCTTCTGACTAAACAAAGATTGACATCCGCAAGCCGAACCTGGGATACTGAATTAGAAATCTCCAAAATCTCTTCTTCATCGTTGTTAAGTTGCAGATTTTCCATACTGGATTATGATCAACGCTCAAGAATCGGGAATAATCTACTTCTCACACTGAGAGAAAACCCTAGGACTTCTCACGAGGAGAGAAGATCTCGACTGTTTCTGGTAGAGATAAAAAAAAAAAAAAAGTATATATCAGACCTTAGTACCTTACAGTATAAAAAAAGTGCATCAAACATTAGAATTTAGAGTTACTTTCATTCAGCGAGCATGACAAATCTTTTACACGCTTTTATAAGTTGGTGGACAATTAAATAGTTTGCAGGTATACAACATTGAGAACTGAGAATCTCTTATGTCCCCACATCTTACCAGTCAAGCAATTATTTTGTATGCTTAAATACGTTTTTTTTGTCAAAATCTGAGACCAATATGCTTAAATACGTTTTATGGCACATTTTATTTTAATCCCTGCATTTATGTTTTTTGTTTTCATCCTTGCAGTATCCATTATTTCGTTTTTAGTCCATCTCTAAATCTGAGACCACTCTACTTAGCAAAAATTAATGTCAATTGCATAAATCTATTAAAAACTCTGAAATTTATTATTTTATATTGTTTTGAGACTGATATGAGAGGTAAACAATGTAAAGGAATGGGAATTTGGAGACAACCTTTTGAAAAATATTCTTTTAAAATAGGTTTTAACAACCTTTTGAAAACAATATTACCAGAGCCGTCTAATGAATTTGGAGATCCCGTTCCAAATGTAAAATCGAGGCCCCATATAAATATATATAAAAATAATCTTAATCTAAATACTTATACAGAAATCAATTGAATACTCATCAAATAATGTAATAGAAATTTTAAAAATCACTTAATACCTGATTTAAAGCAACAAACTCATCACTCAATCAATTTGAGTAAAACAGGAGGAAAAAGACCGACAAGAACTTTATTTTACTGATTAGTATTAATATACTCCCTCCGTCCCCTTTTAAATGGGACGGGAGATGGTGGCACGAGTTTTAAGAAAAATGAGTTTGTGTGGTTGATATTAATTGATAAAGTAAGAATAAAGTAAGAATGATTTTGAGCCACACAAAGTTTACCAAATAAGGTATGAGGCAATTAAATAGGGACATCCCAATATGGTAAAACGGGACATTTAAAAGGGGACGGAGGGAGTATATTATTACTATGTAATACTAATAATTTTTTAAAAACTTGGGGCCCCGTAAATCGGAGACCTTATTTTGTAGAACATGTAAACGCGCTAAAGACCGGTTCTAAATACCATTTATTTTATGAATAATATGACAAAGAATTAGAGAAAAATATATTATGTGGGATGTTGTGATTCATGATGAACTAAAATGAAAAATAACATATACTCCGTATTACAAAGATTAAAATTTAAAAGTTGTTTTACAGAATCATAAAAAAATATACCATATTTAAAAGATTAAAAATATATGCAAGCCTATTTTATATGTAATCAAACACCACTAATTGTATAAAAACACCCTCTAATCAAAATTCAAAAGTAATGTAAAAAAAAAAAGAGAGAGAATACTTTTATTCGCTGAGTTCTCGTTGACTTGGGGCAGTCTCATGAATCTCGTGTTCATCGTGCCACCATGTAAGAAGATTGGAGGGGAGTGTGATCATACTAAGCTGAGAGGTGAAAGACAAACAAGAGAGAGTAAAAGAGAGCACTGGATAGGAAGGTAATAATAAAAACTAGAAGACGGAAATGGGTGCTTTCTCATTTTTGAGCAGAGCTCTGCATACCAAACCTTCAAACTATTCTAAGCTTGTTGTTCTCCTCTCTGTCAGGTTCTCTCCCACACCTCTCTTTTTCTTCCAGCCTTAATTTGTTAAAAAGATTACTTTTTTATCAGAACCCAGACTTCCCAGTAGCACATCTCGATTTCTTGGAATACCCAGTTACCTGCTCTTTCTTTTCACCATTTTTTGGGTTCCCTTATAGTTCGTGATCTGGAACCTACTCTCTTATGTTGCCTCTTATTCCATATTTTCTTATTCGGAGCTTTCCATAATCATATGTGAATGGATACTAATCTCTGGACTTTCTTATAATCTATTCTTGACTGTAGAAGACTCGTAGTATATCCTTAGTATTCTTCTTAGTGGATCCTTTGGGCCTAATAAATAGTTAGATTTATCTAACTAATCATTTGTGTTATTGTGTGTAATGAACAGCTATTGCTTTCACTTAATCATAAATGATTTTTTTGGGGTGAGACTTGTATTGGGCCTTGATTTTTATCCACGATGTTTGTTTTTGCAGTAGTGGAGGTCTGATTGCATATGCAGACTCCAATTCAAGCAGTGAAGCAAAAGTTGTGGAATATGTTCAATCATTAGAACCAAAGAAAAAAAGAGTCTTGGTGCTAGGAACTGGATGGGGTGCCACTAGTTTCCTTAAGGATTTGGACATTTCATCCTATGATGTTCAAGTCGTGTCCCCTCGGAACTATTTTGCATTCACTCCATTGTTACCTAGTGTCACTTGTGGTACCGTTGAGGCACGAAGCATAGTTGAGCCAATACGCAACATTATAAAGAAGGTAAGTAAAAATAATAACTTTGAGCTCTATTTGTTTTTATGTTTTCTCTTTAACTTTTCTGCTTCACCTTGTCTTGGCAGAGAAATGGAGAAGTTAAATTTTGGGAAGCGGAGTGCTTGAAGATTGACCCAAAGGAAAAGAGAGTACACTGCCGTTCTCTCATCGATGAAAATTTAGTTGGGAAAAATGACTTCTCATTACATTATGACTATCTGGTTATATCCGTTGGAGCAAAAGTGAACACTTTTAACACCCCTGGCGTTTCGGAGCATTGTCACTTTCTGAAGGTAATCCGATCTCTCTTTTCATACATAAATAAGATATACATTTTTATTTATTAAAAAGAAACAAACTATTCCTGACAGGAAGTGGAAGATGCTCAAAGCATCCGCCGAGCTGTGATTGATTGCTTTGAAAAGGCAGTGCTTCCAGAGTTAAGTGAAGATGAGAGGAGAACGAACCTCCATTTTGTCATAGTAGGGGGCGGCCCAACTGGTATAGAATTTGCTGCAGAGTTACACGACTTTGTTCATGAAGATTTAGTGAAAATATACCCATCTGTGAAAGATCTTGTTAGGATCACTATCATCCAATCTGGAGACCATATTTTGAATACGTGAGTACCATCATTCCAAAATGAGAAAATGAAAAATATATGACCTAAAATGAAAATAGTGGACAAGAACACAATTTTAATATGTATTTATGCAGTGTCCAGAGTTGTATTTATGGAGTGACTATAGTGACCAGACTGATGTTCAATTTCACACTGCAATGACCATATAATTGCATTGTTGTTTATAAGGCCTATTTTGATAATTTTATAACAAAAATCCATTCTAAAATTTCGTCATTTCCTGAAGTCTCAAAAGCCAAACAGACCTTAATATGTTTCTGGGCAGGTTTGATGAAAGAATAAGTACTTTTGCTGAGAAGAAGTTTCAAAGAGATGGAATTGAGGTTTTGACAGGATGCCGAGTGGTCAGTGTCACTGATGAGTCACTTAACATGAAAATAAAATCTACTGGAGAAAACGTTTCAGTCCCACATGGAATAATTGTGTGGTCAACTGGGGTTGGTACTCGCCCGGTCGTCACAGATTTCATGGAACAGACTGGTCAGGTATTCTTATTTGCTTTGATCAAAGCATGTTTTTTAGAAATATATACACAGACAAAATCTCTTATATTTCTTTTTGTGAAGGCCAACAGGCGTGCTCTTGCAACTGATGAATGGTTAAGAGTAAAAGGTTGTGAGGGAGTCTATGCTCTTGGTGATTGTGCTACTGTTGATCAACGTAAAGTAATGGTATGTGTCTTTAAAAATTTGAATTATTTTGGTTTTTTTATTTTACTTTGAGAGAATTAGTTCTTTCTTTCAGTGGGATCCATTTATAAGTACTTCTCAGTAGATTTTAGTAACTTCACATGCCAAGAACAATTTATTGGGCACTTTCAGAGATTGTACTAAGAGGATGTTTTTTTCCAGCTTTTTGAACTGATTCTATTGTGTCAGGCATTCCAAGTTGCCAACAGAAATAAAAAAGATTCAATTTTAAGGTGAATGACGAAAGTCATATTACTGATTCTGAGAGTCCTGAAAATGATCACTTTCAGGTTCTTTTTTACAAAAGAATCAATCCAAGCACCTCTAGATTAGTTCTGATTAATCATTTTTTGAAACACCTTCTAATTTTAGTGACAAAAGCAGTGTCATCCGTAACAAGTGTAAAATGAAAGGGCGTGTTTGAATCTTTACCCAAAGACCACAATGTAACTATCCTTTTTCTTGTCTTTAACACATGTGTAAACATGTTGTGATTGAATGGTCCAGGAAGATATTACGAGCATTTTTGAAGCAGCTGATAAAGATAGATCCGGCACCTTAACTAAAGAGGAATTTGAAGATGTCATTAAAGATGTCATCATCAGGTACCCACAAGTGGAACTATATATGAAGAGCAAGCATCTCCTGGAAGTGGCAGACTTGCTGAATGACGATGAAGGGAACAAACAAGGTAAGATAGATATTGAGGTTTTCAAGTTAGCCCTCTCTCATGTTGATTCACAAATGAAGAGTCTTCCTGCAACTGCTCAGGTGTAGTCCTTTTTCATTTTTCTTTTTCTATTTTCTCCTTTTCCAGTAATATATTGCTCCAATCTTCAGTTATAATATAAATTAAGAAATTGCTGAAAATAGGTGTAAAAGCATGACTAAAGTGGATAAATAGGAGTATTCTTGTTTTATCTTAAACATGACTTGCTCAGCTCTTTTTTTGGGATACATCGGAAAAGAACTCGTTTAGCTCTAATAAAAGAATATAGTTAAAATTTCTTTTACGGAGAAATGAGCTCTAGTTTAAGACTAGACCTAAACATACCAGATGGAATAAGATGATCAAAAAAATTTGGTATGAGTAAACTAGACTTGGTGAATAAGATGATCAAAAAAATTCATCAAAAAACTCCACCGGGATCTGCCCCAAATCGCGACGGCCGGACAGAACCTCCTATAGAAGGACTTAATTGACCTTTTTATGAAAGTTCAAGGACCTATTTGATAGTTTTTCCTTAAGAAAATAATGATATGCCTATTTGGCGATATGTGCTATGTTTTAAGAATCTTTGACTTGCTAGGTTGCCGCACAACAAGGCGCATACCTGTCAAGGTGCTTTAACCGTTGGGAACACTGTAAAAGTAATCCTGAAGGCCCTCGCCGTTTCAAAAGTACTGGACGACATGAGTTTCTTCCTTTCAGGTTGTTTTTAGCTCTGTTTCAAATTATTATTATTATTATTATTATTAGAAAGATAATGGGATAATATGGCTTTTATGACAGTGACCATAGTGGGTGACTAATGACAATGTTATTGTTCAAATTTACTATGGAGTGACAATGATGGAGTAGAATTTTTATTTTTTGAAGTGATTGCACTAACACTGTAAAAAGTAAACAAGACATTGCTGCTAACAAATTGCATTTCCATATCAGGTATAAGCATTTTGGACAATTTGCTCCCTTAGGTGGGGAGCAAGCAGCAGCCGAACTTCCTGGAGACTGGGTTTCCATGGGTCACAGCACACAGTGGCTCTGGTACTCCGTATATGCAAGCAAGCAAGTGAGCTGGCGCACCCGGTACCTTGTTGTTGGTGACTGGACGCGGAGATTCATCTTTGGAAGGGATTCGAGCCGTATTTGATGCCACCACGTCACACCATCCTATGGATATTATTAGTTTCTATCTTTCTTTACCTTGACGAAAAATATAATTCATCTTTTATGGTGTTTGGGCTCAAGACAGATTCCAAATCATTGTTTCTCTTGTATATATTGGATTGAATTCAATGTCCCTGGGCCCTGGCCATCTTCTCAAGTCTTGATATGTGTCTTGATGTCCAGTTTTATTTAGATCATCACAGAATATCATTAGTTGACCATATAAAAATGACAAGTGAAAAACAACAACAAAAAACTAAAACAAAATTCTCCCCCTTGAAGCATAAAAAAGGATTTATGCCACTTTACAAAGTAAAAAATGCATTATATGTAGGGGAGGAGTAACAAACAACACTTATTGAAAATTCACAATACAATTGTAATTGTAGAGCCAGGAACTCATATATGCCTCCAGAAACCAACTATAAAGAGAAACAATATGAAAATTCTCCCACAGAAACACACATCATTTGCTTTTTACTACTTTGCCATCTTAAACATCATCTTCCTCTGCAAAGCTCAAAGCTTGACAGACCACTCTCTCCTCATCATCTTCATCATCATCATCATTGCAGAAGAATGATTTCTTTCCAACCAACTCAGCGACTCTTTTAGCAGGTCCAGAGTCCCTTGGACTCTCCTTCACACACCGACCAGTCCTGATTCTAGGAAGCAGCATCATATGAGGCACCACAGGTGGGCTTTCTGGGGATTTCTCCGAATCTGATCCCTGATGCAACACAATCTCCTCAGGAATTTCCCATCTCTTTTTCACCCGGATTTCAGTTCCCCATAAGGACAGTTTCTTATCACATCTCTTGTTATCATCCTTGTCGTTTTCCAGAGGTAAAGATCTCTTCCTCAATGCTGATGAGTTTGCCATATTCTGATTATATCGGCTGGGGATGACCCTCCCTGGCTTCCCTGCCCTCTGGGATTTTTTGTTAGAAGCAGGGGTAGACTTGTCAAACAACTTCTTGGGCTGAACTGAGCTGAGAAAAACTTCATCTTTCTGCACAGTTTTATTAGAGGGAAGCGTAGTCACTGCCTGTCTTGAAGGGAAGGGTTTCACCATTGTCGGCTTTCTCTGGTTCTCCTCATCAATATCTTGAAGCTTCCAGAAACACGATTTTCGTCTGTTGTTTATGGGTTGAATTGGAGTAATTTTTCCAAACAGAGGCGATTTGACTGCAGATAGAATCTCAGATGGACCCAAACTAAGTCCTCTTCTTTGAACTCTAGCCTTTTCGCTCAATGAGAATCTTTCTTCGATCTTTTTGATTCCATCCGCATTCTTAAGGCTCTGTTTGGGTTCCAAGAACTTCGCAGTCACGATTCTTGCTCGCTTTTCCACATTCTTGACAGATTTCTCAGCTTTCTCCATTTTAAGAACCTCTAATCTTGAGGACAGCAAGCCGATCTCCTTCTCAATCTCCTCAATCTCCTTGTCGATCTTCTTCTCATCCCGAATTCCCTCTTTGGTATTGCCAATAGAACCGGATTTGAGATTCCCTGCTCCATACCCAAACTTCGGATTCTCCAGAGCTCTGTTCGGGTGAAGTGGTTTGACTGCAGGCGTCGGAGATTTGACGCAAAGGGTGTTTTCAAAAAGAGGACTTCGATTCTCTTTGCTATAAACTGATTCGAATGAATCTGCAACCTTCTTCACCAAAAGAGGCTTCATTTGAGCCCGAAAACGCCTAGGTTCTTCAGAACTTCCATGGTCGAATGCAGCATTATTCCATATCTGAACATCTGTGGGGGTTAACCCCTGTTGGTATTGCAAGACACTCATTTTTCTTCTGTGTGTTAAGAATATTTTCTGAGAAAGGAAGAAACCGATGGATTCTTTCTCCGTTCTTGAAGTGTGAGAGGGATGAGGAATTGGGCGTATAATATGAAAACAGTGATTTCTCCGTTTCTTGTATTTTCGAGTTTTCTGACCGTTGAGAGGGAAAATTAAAACGTTGGGGAAAAGGCTCCATCTCCGCAAACGCTCCGATTTAATTAAGGAAAAATGGAAACTAATAATCCAACCTTTTAGCGGTCTTCTTTCAATAATCCCACCTTTTGATTATTCATGAATAATCCAACCTTTGCACCTCATCTTCATTCATTGGTCCCTGGTCGGTTAATGACCTACTATTCCAAGTTATTTTCTTATCTTTCCAAAATATTATCTTTGTGAAAGATGAGATTTATGGTATAATGATTTGCAAAGATAAGAAAATAGCTTGGAATAGCAGGTCATAAACCGGTCAGGGACCAGTGAATGAAGATGAGGTGCAAAGGTTGGATTATTCATGAATAATCAAAAGGTGGGATTATTGAAAGAAGACCGCTAAAAGGTTGGATTGTTAGTTTCCATTTTCCCTTTAATTAATTACTAGTAATAAATCAATGCTATGTTTGGAATTTTGGATTTTACAAAGTAAAAGAAAAGGTATAGATGGCCAATTCTTTCAAACCATAAAATCTTCATAAGCCTATATGGGTAGGTTTAAAAGGATTAATTGATTGAATTTATTTAAATTACATGTTTTTAATCAAATATGTATAAACTATACCCAAAAACCCGATCAAAAAACTTCGCCTACTTTAATTGAAACGCATTCCCTACATTTCGCAAAAAAACAAAATCTAACTTTGATTTACACAACTATTTAATCACTTCAAATTCAGCAAAAAGAGGTAAGAAAAGAGGTAAGAAATAAAGATAATTGTGACATCACGTATAAATAAATGAAATTGGAACTTCTTTTTATAGGACATTCATAAAAGGAAAATGATAGTCTCTTTTTGAGATAGAGGAAATATAAACAAATTCATGCTTATTTTCATTTAAGATGATATTGAAGTGAACTTGCAATAAAATTAGGGGCCGTTTGGAAGCAGCTGGTCCAGCTGTTTGGGCTGAAAAGTCTGAAAAGCCTGAATGTGTTGAAGTAAAAGTGTTTGGTAATTCTTTGGCTGGAATGGCTGATTGCATGTAAAATTACCATTAAGGGTATTTACTTATTTACTAATTTATAGCTATCATTTAAAAGCTTACCAATCTAATCATATTAAAAGCTAACTGACATCAATCATATTCATTTTGTTTTGCCAATTCTGAGGCAAAAACGAGCATAAGAATTTTTTTCTTTCCTTTTCATAGCCTAATAGTTTTCAAGGTGCTGAAACCAAAAAGTGATCACAGTATGATTGATATTAACAGTGACAAAGAAAGTTTTCAGGAATAAAACGCTCCCTCTTTGAGATCCTTCTTGATTTGCAGGAAGAAATCGAGCACTTATGTAAAAGTTCTAAAGATTATGATGGATCTGCGAGAAGAAGAAGAGGCCGAGCAGCTTACCTTTAATATGGAGAAGCTGAACGAGAACTCATCGATCTGGAAGGACCAAGCTAAGCAGCGGAGCAGATGAAAGTTGGAAGCTGTCGATCCAGAAGTGGTAGAAGCGGCAGATGTATTACGGGTATAGAGAAGGGAGGGTAAAGGGGTAGTTTACCTTTTCAACGGTAAATTAATACCTTTCAGCCGATAAAGTCAGGGTATTGCTACTTTTCTGGCTGATCAGAAATATCAGCCCAAACAGCCCAATTGGCTAGTGTTTGGCACTTTTTTTTATCTTTTAAGGCTTATCAGCCGATTTTATGGGCTCCAAACAGCCCCTTAGAAAGTTTCACGATAAAGTTGATCGATATTAAAATTTAAAACTTGAGAAAATGGTTAAATAAGGTTTTCTACTATTATGAAATCGTCACATAAGGTCATGTACTCAATAAAGTGTCTTATAAATACGTCTACTTTTAAAAAGCAATCAAATGAGTCCTAACGACCTGTTTACAACCTCATAACCCCGGTTTTAGCGTACTTCTGACCATCTTTTTAGAATAGATTATACGACAGACGTCAGATATTTAACTAAGGTCATGTACTCAATAAAGTGTCATATAAATACGTCTACTTTTAAAAAGCAATCAAATGAGTCCTAACGACCTGTTTACAACCTTATAACCCCGGTTTTAGCGTACTTCTGACCATCTTTTTAGAATAGATTATACGGCAGACGTCAGATATTTAACTAAGGTTGGTTAAAATACAAGTAAAAAATCGACACGTAAGCTAAAATCGGGATTAAGAGGTTGTTAACGGGTCATTAGGACTTATTCGATTATTTTTTATAAGTAGACGTATTTATATAACACTTTATTGAGTACATGACCTTATGTAACGATTTCATAATAGTAGAAGGCCTTATTTGACCATTTTCTCTTAAAACTTTCATTTGAACTGATTTCAATTTCTAAATACATCAAACCAAACAAGACCACACATATTGCGCAATTTATACCGTCGGATCGGCCCACCGCGCACGATGCCGATCTCAAACGGCGTCATTTTATTGACTGAAAATGAGAGCTTCCATCGATCACAACACCTAGAGGACCTCCATCGCAGCCGCTCCAAGATAGTACATGTAAGCTTTCTCCTTCTTTCTCCTCCTCCTCCTCCACTTCCTCCTCTTTTCTTCTTTATCCGTTAATGAATGAATGAACGCCTGTTGTTCAAGAAGATTTATGCATAACCCTTTTAAAATTGAAAGCAAATTATTTTGATTTGAGTTAGCAGGTCTGCGTATTATTCCAATTCAGATTAATCTGAATTTTTCTATTCTCCTGGATGTTGATTTCACAAGTTACATCTCATTGTTCACAAGTTACATTTGAATAGGCTAAAGTTACATTCACAAATTACATCAGATTTGTTCCCAAGTTACATTTGAATCAAATCAGTTTACATTTCAATGAATACATTTGAGTGAGCGTAATTTACATTTTGATAAACTTGAAGTTACATATGAATTCACATGATTTACATTGCATATAACCTTGGGAGCAGAATGCTCACCCTGCACCGCTCCCACGGTATAGCAACTGCACATATTGTGTGTGACCAGACTTAGCCAAATGACATGTCAAGATAAGATTTAAACAAACTCGACCAAACCAAGATACTAGCTAGTGATCTGAAACACACATACTATCATATATTACATGATTATACCAAATTAGATGACTTGAGACTACACAAGAAATAAGTTAAACAAACCTACTAAAATCATACTAACTCAGACCGAATATGAAAATAAAAAGAT